AGTTGATTCTGGACGAGAACAAGATGCTCTGAACTTGGCCTAAACAAAAAAATAATATGGCCTAAATCCATCTTTTTTGTGGGGGAGAGTTAAACTGAATATTTTAGCAAGGTTTTATGAAGTTTTTAAAAGCTTGAGGTTCTTCCCTGGCTGTGTGTCCTTCATAAAATGACCTGCTTGCTATTTTTAAGGTGATAGGCTGGGATGTCACTAAAAGTGTGTGTGTGTGTGTTTGTGTCTGTATCTGTGTGTCTATATAGCAAATGTCAGGTTTCCAAGTGATGAAATCCATTTAGAAAGAAAAAAGCAAAGTCCATCTTCCAAAACAATTTATTTTATTTAGGAAAGCATCCAATTGGCAAAGTCTGTTGTAATTCCAGATCTGACACAACCTGGAATTACACCACATAATATTGGAAGTTAGAAACAACCCCCAAAAGTCACATTCTCCAATTGAAGTAAATCAACGTTGCCTGGTGTCATCACCTTCCGGTCTCAGCAGGGTCAGCTTTTGTTCCCACGGGAAGAAGAACCACCTAGCCTAAACAACTCTCTCTATCTCCTCTCCTCCCACCTTAGGAATGTGGCAAGCCCGAAACCCTTCCCCCCAAATACTAGCAAAGAGAAAGGAAAAAAGAACATATAAAAAAGCTAAATAAAATGGCTACACATATGTCAATTTCGGGCTTGACAGCAAAAAAAAAAAAAAATCAAGATGGCAGCCATGATAATATAACCCCAAACCCAATTTTATCCGGGATGGGCTTCAAAAATTTCAGCAACTGGTTCTCTGCCTGGTTGGGTGCGCCTCCTGCACCATGGCGGGAAGGGTTTCCTCGAGCCTCCGGGGGGGACAAAAATGGCCTCCCCCGTGCTCCGGAGGCTCTTTGGAAGCCGGGAACTCATCCATTTCTGGCCTTCTGGAGCCTCCAGGAGGCCTGTTTTTCACCCTCCCCGAGCCTCTTCACGCACCCTGCACTTACCTGACATCCAAAACAGGCCGCATGGAGACTCCTGGGAGGGGAGGGGCAGGGTGGGCGGGACCAGCCAGGGGCAGGATTTACCAGTTCGCCGAAGTGCGCAGAATCTTAGCTAGACCCCTGACTTTATTCCTGCATGCAACAGGCACATTAATAAGAAAAGATCTTGGATCATATGATTGTGGTTCTTGTGAGCTTTTTGATATTTCCTCACAAAATAACTCTGTGCGAGTTATTCCCCCTCCTGGGTGAAGCAGTAAGACAAGCTAGGGGAATCCCAGCATAGCTGATCATATGAACAGCTGATTGTTGGGAGGGGAAAAAGAAGAAGAAATACCTTAAGGGGTGAGCGTCAGGTGGGTGGGGTGAACATTGGGCTGGCGGGGCAAGCGAGCCTGCGATGACCGGGCATGGCCTGCCAGAACTTACTACCGGTTTGGCAACCCACACCAAATCCTTGCTACTGGTTCATGTGAACCGGTGCGAACAGGCTGAATACCACCACTGATGATATCTCTCTTCCCATTTCAAAAGGGCAGTGTGAAAGAGGGGGGGGGGAAATCATAATTTCTCCAGGTTGCATAGATGTACTCAGTAAAATCAACAAATCCTTCTTCATCCCACTTGCCATCTCCTTCCGTTTGCAAACTTTCTCCATGCACAGAAGTTATTGGCTTGAATGAAATGCGTAAGACTTAAGGGAGACATGAAATGACCATCAAAGGCCAATGAAGCGAACCTGCATTACAATTTTAAAAATCTAGCTCTGAGCATGCAAATCAGGATCAACTACGGCAGGAGGGGTCAAACTGGATTTCTTTGAGGGCTGGATTAACATTGTAGTTCTCCTTTGCAGGCTGGCTGTGGGGGGTTGAATGGCAGGGGGACGGGGAGCAATGGGGGGAGGGACAGATGCCTCCTGAAGCACTCTGCCAGCCAAAACAGGGAACAGGGGGTGTGCACGTGGTCCCCTGTGTCTCATTTTCACCCTTTATGACCTCCTGCGGCACTCGACTGTAAACAGGCCACAACATTTTTCGGCCCATTTTTCAGCCATTTTGGGCCCATTTTCGGGCTGTTTTTTGGCCCATTTTTCAGCCTGTGCAGCAAATATTTATACATCAAATGTCTTAAGCACCCATCTCCCTCCCAGAGGGGCTCGTGTTTCAGTCATGAATGCTGCCTTTGTTACAATAGAGATCATGGGCTCCATTCTGTCGCATAATGGTTAACCTGCCATCTTTTCATAATGATCAAAGCTTACATGGTGAGGCCAACATTCCTCCTTATGAATTCACTAGAATGCCCGAAATTTTTATGATGTGTTTTGTCGGAGGTTACCAATTGGCCTAGGAAAAGGAGTGATCTAATTAATATTTTACAAATAATGGCAAAAATACGTGTCCCGGGATAATGTTGCAAGATCCAATCTGGGGTCGGTCAACAGGACCAGAGGTTTTAGTCTTCCGAGCTTTTGGACTCATGCTAGAGGCCATCCTCACTGTTCTGACCAAGGCTTCCGAGACCGTAATTAAGCACACGCTTAGTTAAAACAACTCTTGTTTTATTTCAACACTGGGAATTATGTTCATTCTCAGCTGGTAATGAGTTCCAAACAGTCCCTTGAGATAAACACCCACCTTTCTCTCTTTTAAATTGCTGCCAAAAACTAGAGTGCCAAATTAACTGTAAAAAACCCAACTGAAGTACAAAGCCCACACAGAGCTTCAAGGTTTAATCTGAACAGAGCAAATGACTTTGCTTCCTGCAAAGGTTTCTCTACCTTTGTGCCTCCTTTATACCTTAGGAGAGGGGCAATCACTTCCAAGCCTTACTCCCGAGTTGCCCCTTTTTCTTAGCTGCTTTTGCCTTCTAGCAGCTCTGTGCACACGCACACTGGAAACAGGCTCCCCTTGTTCCTTGGCCTCGCTGCTGCCAGACTCCAGAGGCTCCGGAGTCAACACCCCGCTCCCAGATGGTCCTGGCCCCATCTCTGCATCGGATGCAGGACCCTCGTCCAAGTCCTCTCCAGACTCCCACTCCCCGTTCTTCCCCACTGTCTGATTCCACTGCATTGGCTGCCGGCAAACCACAATATTCAGGGAACGTCTCTCTACTGGACAGTGTGCTTTGGGTTATTCTATGACTCGTATTGATGTGGTGCCTTCCTATTGGTTGATTGGTGGGTCTGTGGCTGACAATTGGCTGTTAACTTCCTGGTGCTGCAAAACTCTCGATTCCTAAGTATTTGATAAGCTGGGTGTAAGTCAGCACTTCTGTTGATTGATGAGGGGCCCATTTCCCAGGCTTCAATCACTTCCCTGGCTATCTTTTTACAAGGGTCCTAATAACATTTTCTAGGTGGGTACAAAGATAGCCGGGGAAATGATTAAACCCTGGAAAACGGGCCCCTTGTCAGTCAGGAGTGCTGAATTACCACCAGCCTATCAAATACTTAGGAACTGAGGACTTGGCAGCACCAGAAAACAACAGCCAATTGCCGGCCACCAACACACCAACTGACCAATAGGAAGGCACGACATAAATACGACTCATAGAATAGAACAAAGCACACAGTCCAGTAGAGAGAAGTTTCCCAATCAAGCTGAAAGCTCGGAAGAGTAAACCTCTAGTCCCATTGACTGACCTCAGATCTGATTTTACAATAATCTTTTCCCTTGGGTTAGCCAACCCCCTCCTTTAATGCCCCTTCCAAAAGATAGCCAAGGGGCAGGTATGATTGACCCAAAAGATGAAAACCAAGCATTTCTCTCTTCTTCTTCTTCTTCTTCTTCTTCTTCTTCTTCTTCTTCTTCTTC